CATAGGCTGTTTAAGTGAAGTTTTCAAGTTAGCATTTCCTTTATCAATTAACCCGGCAAGAGCTGAGACAATGTTGTACTGAATTTACTTGTAACAATCACAGGTATTTTAGATTTGTTGTGTTTGCTAAATAAGAAACTGCATGAGGAAATAATAGGTTTCTTGCAAACGTTGCAGTAACCCGTGTCCTGCTCTGGGATTTAGTGTGAAGTCAGACACATTTTTGCAGCATTCCTGTGACAGTTCACGTGGTTCTTTCAGTCATGCCTGACTGGTCAAGCTGAGTCACTTGCTTTACTAAAGACTCAGAAACGCTGAGCATTTCACGACCAAGGAGCTCTCTGCCATAAACTGAGATTCTGTAGATGACTGCTGATGTAATAATGAAACTAAATGGAAGGATTTATAAAATGCATTCAACAGAGCTTGAGTTCCATGGTTGAACTGGTATAGACTGACTGTGGAGAATGAGCTAGCTCGCACTAATGTGCCATTCAGTGAGATATTTATCACATTACTCACTTGTTCAGTGAACAGGACATAAAGAAACAAAATGAAAAGTTCATAACACCTCGTAAGATTACATTGAAATGTAATTTGTGCATCATGGCACTACTATTTTGGTTACAAGGCATAAGAAAACTAGGAACTTTGACGTTTCGCAGAAGAAAGTGCACTACTATTCAAAAGATTGAGGTTTATTCAGCAAGGATGCATTAAATTGATCAAAAGTGACAATAAAGACATTTATGTTATGAAAGATTTCTATTTAATAAATGCTGTTCATTTGAACTTTCTATTTATCAAAAAATCCTGAAGAAAAAACAATGTATCGCAGCATGTGACACTGAAGACTGAAGTAATGATGCTGAAAATTTAACTTTGCATCGCAGGAATAAATTACATTTGAACATATATTCAAATAGAAAACAGCTATTTTAAATTGTAATAATATTTCACTGTTTTTACAGTATTTTTGATCAAATAAATGCAGCCTTGGTGAGCTTAAGACTTCTTTCAAAAACATTTTAAAAAATTGTACCGACCCCAAACTTTTGAACGATAAAGTCTGTGTTTTTGAAACAACATGAGGGTGAATAAATGATGATTATTGTTGTCATGTGGTTTCAGTTCCACTGTGCCTACCAGCTCACGGATTGGTGCCTTCACCACATCTGCACCAACTACAACAACGTGTGCCGCAAATTCCCCAGAGACATGAGGGCCAAATCAGCAGGTAGTACATCAAAAGTTTCTTTTGTTTTTATTTTTTAAATGTAATATTTTATTTTATTTGGTAATTTTCATTAGTTGTTGTTTCTTAAATTGTCTATATAGTTTTTTATTAATTTGTATTTCAGTTTTCGTTATCTTAGTACATAAAGTTAGACTAAATGAAAATGTTGCCATGGTGATTAGCTGAAATAAAATAAGAATATTTTAAAATTTTTTAATATTATTTTATATATTGCATTTCAAGAAACAAAAATGTTTTTTTTTTACTGTTTGTTTACTACAATAACCCTGTTGGATGCATGTTCATTTGCATTTTCAGAGAACCAAGAATACTTTGAGAAGCACCGCTGGCCTCCGGTCTGGTATCTGAAGGAGGACGACCACTACCAGAGAGCTCGGAAAGAGCGGGAAAAGGAGGACTACCTCTCCCAAAAATGGCAAAACAAGCGTAAATGGGTGCTTTGGAATCTTCCGCCCTCCCCTTCGAACCCCTCTTCATCTTCTTCATCGTCCTCATCCTCGGGCTCCTCTGCTATCATCTGAAGAGACGAGGGTGAAACCTTAGAGATGGAGAACCTGTAAGGTGCAGTGAACACATCCACCAATTTTTCTGCTTTTTCTGGTTTCAGATCAACTTCGCATCAGTCGTGCTTTGAAGTTCTTGGTGCCTGAAGTGCTGCACTTGGAAGTGTACAGGCATCACATACGACATGCAGGTCTAGATGTAAACCAGTGGTCACCAACCTTTTTAGGCCCAAGATCCCTGACCTCGGCCTTTATGAAAGACAAGATCTACCTATTGAAGAATTGATAGAAAAAGACATCCCAGAATGTACTTCAAATTTGAGGCCTTTTACTTAGTATTTTAATTAGTGATGCGCCGATCATAACTGATTCAGAATTCAGATTTTCTTTTCTTTCTTTCTTTTTTTTTTTAACTAGCAAATTGGATTCTGATACTGATTTTTAAGCAAATTTATTTATTTGCTTTATAACAAACAAACTGGCTTTAAACAAAAATATCTAGCCATTTGAAATTAGAGGCAACCACTGCATTTTAATCATGATCTGCACGGGCAGTTGTTTTTGATTTGATCTAGATTAATTTCAGGATTTAAAACAAAAACAGAATGGTCTGACTTTGTGTTATTTACTTATTTGCTACATAAAACATCTGCACGAAACAAAAACAGCAGGTCTGAATGAGATGCACTCTCTGACAGAAGGCGGCGCCTATGAACAGGGTTGCCAGGTTTTCACAATAAAACTAGTCCAATCGCGTTTCGAGGAGGGTGAGGGTCCCCTGTAAAAATCGCATTCTGGGGGTAAAATACACGTTTTTCGGCGGGGATCTTCCAGTAAAATTTTCATTCCAGGGACTAAATATCACGTTATTGGGGTCGCTTCAACCCGCGGACATGAACAACAACCCGTGGCAACGGT